CTCTCTCTCTCTCTCTCTCTCACACACACACACACACACACACACACACACACACACACATATATATATATATTTAAAATATATATATATATATATATATATATATATATATATATATATATATATATATATATATATATATATATATATATATATATATATATATATATATATATATATATATATATATATATATATATATATATATATATATATATATATATATATATATATATATATATATATATATGTGTATATATATGTATATATATGTATATATATGTATATATATATATGTGTGTGTATATATATATATATATATATATATATATGTATATATATAAACTATTTGTTCAACTATTTATTTATCAAGAATTTGTTCCATGCACGAGTTCATTTGTCTTATTTTGACTGCTATGCCATAATAGATTGTAATAAAAAGTACCTAATATAATACCTAGTAGTCGAATCCTGTCGGCTGTTGCTTCAGTACCAAGTTCAATATCCCAAATTCTGACTGGGGAAAGTTGGATGTGCTGGCCAGTTTGTTATTTGCTCAATGACAATAGGCTACAGTTTTTAAAAACTTTTTAAAAAATTTAAAACATGAACTGCTTCCATTTTTTTATATGTATAATGTGATACATTTGTATTTAAAAATAACTATTGTTTTCATATTTCTTTATTCTAAATCGTTAGGAAAGGTTTTTGGTAGATCGAAACGCATGGTTATAATGACCAGAGGACAAGTTAATCCAACAAAAAAAAAAAATAGTGCTTAAATGTCACTAAAATGCAGTGTTTAAACCTCATTATTAAATATTAAGGCCAATAATTGTATAAAAAAAGAATCACCCCTTTCACCAGCTACAGACCTGCTTTAATAATATCTTTTCAATATTCTTTGTAAATTCTTAAAAAATGGGAAATCCAGTTATTTAAAGTACCATGTTAAACATTTATTGGGAGAATGTCACTGTATGAATGTGTGAATGTAAAATCAGCTTTAGCTCAATCTGTGTGAGTTTGTTTGAGGTAAAGTTGGTTTTATATTCACACGTTCAGGCTTTCTCTTTAATATTATAATTTCAGAAAAGTATTCTTTGCAAATTATGAATAGGAAAGTCATATTAGCAGCCAATCACTATCAAAGTACACCACTGTTCAGCCAATTAGAGCTAATGTTGTTTTGAAGCCATACTTGCACGCTATTTCAGACCCAATAGTGTTTCACAAGGTGTCACAGTTCCAAAATAAACAAATGTGAGAATATAAAACTAACTTTACCTCAATACAGCCGTGTGTGTTTTATGTGAAATTAGGTAAAGTTGGTTTTAAATTCGCACATTCATTCATTTTTGTACAGTGAAAGCTTGTATTCCCTGTATTGTTTATCAAGCTACTTTGAAAATTGTATCAGAAATGGCATGCAAGTATCACATCTAAACATTAGCACTATTTAATTGACTGTGAACAATGTTTTACTTTGATAGTCATTGGCTCCTAATGTGATTTCACTATTTTGAATTGGCAAAAAAATACATTTCTGAAATTACATTATATAATGTCTGAATGTGCGAATATTAAACCAGCTTTACCTCAGTTTTATATGCTCTCTGCGTCAGGCAGGTGAGTAAGTTCAGTAGTTTTGAGCATCATATCACATGCCGAGTCAGCAGTTTTGAGCATCAGCATTTACGGTTTTCCAGTGTGCAGCACTTTTAAACAACCCGGGTCTGTTCCAAATCAACAGCAGTTTTTGGCCTCAGTAGCTGACTTGGGAGTCATTCAGCACTTTCTGGTGTCATAACTGTACTCATCAACCTTCTATATTCAGCATTTTCATGTGTCATAAATGTATTCAGAGCCGTTTTGAGCATCACTTTGCTAGTCTTTCATAAATCTTGTGTATCATATACATGACTTCTTGACAACTCCGGTGCCACAAATAAAGGTAATGAGGGGTATATTAAGATTTTGCAAGAGGTGTGTTAAAATTCAGCAGGATTTTGGACAAACTTGATATGGTCCAAAGCAGCTCCTGTAGGCAAGTTATTCAGCATTTTAAGCTGTCATACAATCATGTATTCAGAGCAGTTTTAAGCATCACTTTGATAGTCTTTTATTAACTTTGGGTGTTTTTAATGTTTTAGGGACTTTTTAATGACAGGTATATTCAGATTTTGCAACAGGTGTGTTAGAATTTAGAAGGAATTTAGGACAAACTTGGTATGTTTGGTGTAAAGTCTAGATGGGATACAGCTGTGGATACTTGCATGGATATTTTTGTGACACTGTACAACAATAATTGATGTTTTGACATTACTGTGATGGTTGTGGTCTGGAATAGACATTATTAAAACGCAATTTAATGAGTAATTAAATAAATAATGTGAGTAATACCTTGCATACTGTTTTGGCATTATGGTAATGGTTGGGTTTTGGGTTGGGGTAGATGTTAATAAAATACAATTAATGGATAATTTAATAAATAATATAATTATTCTTGTTATCTTCCGACTGCAGCTGTATCCCTTTGAGCAACATCCCATTTTGAGCCTCTGTAGATTAGTTATTCAGCATTTTCAGGAGTCATGAATGTATTCAGAGCAGTTTTGGGCATCACTTTAGTAATCTTTTAATAATTATGGCTGTCATATATAATTTTTTAACAACACAGGCGCCATAGATAAAGATAATGACAGGTATATTCAGATTTTGCAACAGGTGTGTTAGAATTTAGAAGGAATTTAGGACAAACTTGGTATGATTGGGGGTAAAGTCTAGATGGGATACAGCTGTGGATACTTGCATGGATATTTTTGTGACACTGTACAACAATAATTGATGTTTTGACATTACTGTGATGGTTGTGGTCTGGAATAGACATTATTAAAACGCAATTTAATGAGTAATTAAATAAATAATGTGAGTAATACCTTGCATACTGTTTTGGCATTAAATTAATGGTTGGGTTTTGTGTTGGGGTAGATGTTAATAAAATACAATTAATGGATAATTTAATAAATAATATAATTATTCTTGTTATCTTCCGACTGCAGCTGTATCCCTTTGAGCAACATCCCATTTTGAGCCTCTGTAGATTAGTTATTCAGCATTTTCAGGAGTCATGAATGTATTCAGAGCAGTTTTGGGCATCACTTTAGTAATCTTTTAATAATTATGGCTGTCATATATAATTTTTTAACAACACAGGCGCCATAGATAAAGATAATGACAGGTATATTCAGATTTTGCAAAAGGTGTGTTAGAATTTAGAAGGAATTTAGGACAAACTTGGTATGATTGGGGGTAAAGTCTAGATGGGATACAGCTGTGGATACTTGCATGGATATTTTTGTGACACTGTACAACAATAATTGATATTTTGACATTACTGTGATGGTTGTGGTCTGGAATAGACATTATTAAAATGCAATTTAATGAGTAATTTAATAAATAATGTGAGTAATACTTTGCATACTGTTTTGGCATTATGGTAATGGTTGGGTTTTGGGTTGGGGTAGATAATAATATAATACAATTAATGGATAATTTAATAAATAATATAATTATTCTTGTTAACTTCCGACTGCAGCTGTATCCCTTTTAGCAACAACCCATATTAAGCCTCTGTAGATTAGTTATTCAGCATTTTCAGGTGTCATGAATGTATTCAGAGCAGTTTTGGGCATCACTTTAGTAATCTTTTAATAATTAAGGCTGTCATACATAATTTCTTAACAACACAGGCGCCATAGATAAAGATAATGACAGGTATATTCAGATTTTGCAACAGGTGTGTTAGAATTTAGAAGGAATTTAGGACAAACTTG